GTCGTGCCCCCGCCCAGGACGGATTTCAGTTGTGTTAGTGAGTAAACGTGAAGGGCGTAATGGCTGTTCTGAGAGTAAAGGGTAGGAGATCGTAGCTTTGGGGGCAGAGAGAGATGTCTTGAAAAAGCCCCCAGAAGGGAACGACAGATTCGACCACGTTGAAATTAAAACCTTTGTTTATCGAAAGACACTAGGAACCGAGTAGAAGTTTAGCCACACGCGGGAAAAGATCCCTGTGACACACTTGACTGACAAAAGCCATCAGTATTTAAACATATTAAGAAGCCGGCACGTCCCCGCCTGCGTGTCCCAGAGAGGAGCGGGCCCGTGGCCCCCGCGGCCCGGGTCCCGCTCCCGAGCCGCTGGCTTCACACCAGGCCCCTCCTGCCCTCGAGCTGCTGCTGGAGATGTTTTTTGTACGTAACATACGGCGTTACTACTTTTACTTTAGGCAGTTGTTGTCAGAGAGACTGAAAGCGGGGGAGACGTCACCCGTTCCGTCCCCGCCCTTCTCCGCCCCGCGGGCTCTGCCTTCGCCCCCGCGCTGACCCTCACCCAGGCCGCCGCTGAGCAGCTCGCTCAGCTCCTGTGGGTCTGGAAAACAAGCCTTTGTCTTCGCTCTTGAAAGATACCTTTGTTGGGAGCAGAATTCTGGCTTGTCCATTTTCCCCTTTCGGGCTTCAAGGCCATTGTCCTATTGTCTTCGGGTCAGGATTGTTTCTGACGAGAACCCGGCCTTTGTTCGCATCTTAATTTTCTGTATATAGTGTGTCTTTTTCCCTGACTGCTGGAGTTTGTCTTTCTGGCTGGTTTGCAGCAACTTGATTGTTTTGCTTTAGTTTGATTTTCTTTGTGTTTCTTTTGTTTGGGGCCCTTTGAGCTTTTTCAACCTGTAGGTTTATAATTTTACTCCGATGCGGGACAAGCGTGTCCGTGATTCCTCTGCATGTTCTTCTCCCTCCCTTCTGCCTTGTTGTTGGACTCCAGTTTCAGTTCATCTTTCCTCTTTGCTTCAGTGTGGATAGTTTCTGTGTGTTTCAGTCATGAATCTGTTCTTTTTTATGTTTTCGTCTGCTGTTCGCTCCACTCAGTGAATTTGTCTCTGATTCTGGATTTTTCAGCTCTAGAAGTTTCATTTGTGGTTTTTATATTCCCTGTCTTTCCTCATTATGTTCATGTTTTTGATTAAATCTTTGGTCATATTTATGGCAGCTGTTTCAAGATTCTCTTCAGTGAACTCCATCATCTTTATCTTTTCTCGGTCTGTTTCTGTTGCTGCTTTTTTGCAGATTGTGGGTCACGTTTGTTGCTTCTTCATAATGTTGGGTGACTCTGATGTGACACCAGACTTGACTGTCGTGCATGTCCGTGCGTGTGTCTGTCTCCTCCCTGTTGGGCCCGGGGTTTGTTCTCGTGGGCGGGTGGGGGTTAGTTCAATCCTCCTCCCTTCCCCTCCTCCAGGCTCCTTTCTGCTCACTACTGATCACAGCTTGGAGCCCCTGCCTCTTCCTGGTCACGTGGCGCCATGTCCTCCTGTCCCTGCTGTCACGCCACTGGGCAGCGAGGGTGCGTGCCTTGGGTGGGGTCGGGGAGTAGTGGGGAGCCCCGCCCCTTTGGTGCAGTGTCATCTCAGGATGTGGGGGTGCAGAGCCACCCACTTCAGCCACACGTACGGAGACGGCAGGGGGGTCGTCTGCTTGGACTTGGTGAGGCAGGGTGAGCAGTCAGGGACGGAAGCCACTGTTGGGGAATGTCCCTCCCTCCCCATCGGCGCAGAGCCTCAGACACTGGGCCCTGGTGTTCAGCTCTTGTCCAGTGAGGAACAAAAGGGTTGGGATCGCCCGGGCCTGGGAGTCTGTGTCACCTCCGGGAGGGCCGAGCAGACCCCGGAACACCCCATGCGCTTTCCCGGAGTGGCCCTGGGCGTGTTCGCAGTATCTCTGCACCCTGGTCTCCTTCCCCGAGAGCCTGTGTCCTGCTGTCTCCCGGCGGGTGGGGCCGCCTGCCCGGGGCGCACAGTGGGTCTCAGCATCTGCCCCTTCCTGTCTCCACCTCTCCCCTTCTCCTCCCCTCCCCATCTCCCCCCAGCCCAGTTGGTGGCTGTTGTTTCCAGTATGATGTAAATCTAACAAGGCAGCCAGGCCTCCCTTCCGTGCCTGGTACGCACACCTGTGAAATGGTGCGGGGTCTGCGTGGCTCCGCAGTACAGAACTCGCCCTCTTCCTTCCAGGGAGCTGCTGTCCAGTGATGCCATGAAGGAGTATAACAGGGCGCGCGTCTACCTGGACGAAAACTACAAGTCCCAGGAGCATTTCACGGTACGTGCCCCCTCGCCCCGGAGAGTCGGCTTCGGGCGTGGCCCGCATGCGCTGACGCGGCCCCCCGCCGGTCCCACAGGGAGAGGCGGGGGCAGCTCTGTCACTGGCAGAACGTGACCGGGCCTGAGTTAAAGCGTCACGCGGCCTGGGGGAACAGCTCGGGGTGTGTGCGTGGTGCAGGGGTGGGTGGGGCTCTTGCAGGGGCAGGTGCGGGACCGGCGCTGGCGGCGGCTGGCTGGGGCAGGGGGATGCAGTCTGGAGCCCATCTCTGCCGAAGCCCTGCACCCGCAACCTTCTGCTCCCGCAACCTTCATCTTGACCGCACCCCCGGGGCCGTCTGGCGGGTCTTCTCCCGAAGGAGCCACTGTTCGGACATCCTGCGCCGGAGTCAGGGCAGCAGACATGCGGCTGCCCTTCCCCAGAGACTGCGATGCTGGAGAGGCCCTGCCCGTTTCAGTCCTTAAATTTCGGGCATCTGATGCCGGTCGTGCAATGGTCATGGGACTGCGGGTGTGCGTCTCCTTTCCCTGGGGTCTTCCCTCTGCTCTCTGCTCGTGGGGCCCCGGCATCACAGGGGCTTCATGCCGAGCACCGTTAGGCTCCCCGGGCAGCGAGGTGGGGGCGTGGCCCCTCCGCCTCCCCTTGTCCCTGACGGCTCCTTCTCTCAGCTCAGTCTTCGAGTTCCAGACACCCATGCTTCCCTTGCTGTGACCCGGCTTCCTGTGCATCCCAAGCGGGACTTTCAGATGAAAAGCTCGAGATCTGAAATGGAAGCTACACTGGGTTCCTGCCGGTTAGGGGCTGCAGGGTAAAAGAAAAGGTAATTGAACCTGAAGGTGTGGCAAGAGAAGGTATGGAGAAAGGCCCAAACCATTACCGGATCGTCGGCCCCCGTGGTCAGTGGTGTGAGTGGAACCCTGGGCGGGACGGGGGGTAGGAAAGGGCTGGCGTTCTTCAGAGTTTGAAACACGTAAACCGATACACACAGTCAGTAACGAGCTTCCGGCAGGACACACAGGCGCTCGGGGTCCCGCCCTCCCCTCCGAGGCTCGGTCTCTGCTGGGCCATAGAGCCACCCCAGCCGCTGCCTCCTCAGGAGGCAGCCCTCGGGCCTCGCAGCCGCCGTTACAGCAGGACAGAAGCTTTACAAGTGACAGGAGGAAGGGAGCACCAGCAGCGTGGGCTCTGAGGTGGTGGGAGTGGCCGGGTCGGCGTCGGCAGGGATTTGGAGCAAGGAACGTGACGAGGGGAGGGTCAGTTCCTCTGAGACGTGACAGCCGTCGTGTGAGCACGCGGTGCCAGGGCTCCAAGTCGGGGAGCCTGTGGGTCCGTGCCCAGTGGGGCACCAGCCAGCGAGAGCTCAGTGACGCCCCCGGGACCCTGGCTTTGGGGTCAGTGGCGCAGCCAAGGGACAAGGACATGGCCCGGGGCAGCCCCGGCCTGGAAACGGCAGCTGTCGGCTCTTCTTCAAAGACGTCTTTCCAAACGAAGGTGGAAGGTGTGTCAGCAGAGACTTCTTCGGAGGATGAGGTTGGCTCTTAACCTTCCTGGGGAGACCGGCTGGAGGCGGGTCCGTCCCCAGGACTCGGATGTGCCCACCCTGGCGGCCAGAGCACAAGCCTTCCTGGGCCTGGACGCGTCTTGGCCTCTGGGTGTGTGTGGAACGTTCCACACACTGAAATCTGGGCTGAAGACTCACCTGGGCGCGGGAGGCGGGAGTCACGTGGCCCCGCTCTCCGACCACAAGGGAGCTGCGTGACGAGTAAACAGAAGCATGTCCGGAAAACTCCCTGACATTTGGAAATAAATAGCAAACTTGTAGACAACCCACGAGTCACAAAGGAAATTAGAAGTTGTTTCCGATAACATGAAAAGCAAAGTAAAAACCGTCAGAATCTATGAGACGCGTCTTAAGTAGCGCTTCGAGGGAAACTTCTGGCGTTAAATGCTTGCCGTAGGAAGTTTTAAAATGAAGAATAAGTTAACCCAAAGCAAGATCAGAGTGGGGGTGTGTCTGGGGGCAGAGACGGAAGGTGAGGGGCAGCTGGGGGTCTCTCCTGGGCTGAGGCCGCCCCTCTGCTAAGGGAGCGTCCTCGCGGGGCCTTGGGCGCCCCGGGGCTGAACGAGCAGTGAGGAGTAGGCACAGCTCATGGGTGGACGGGGCCTGGGTTCTTGCACAGAAGCTGCAGCCTCAGGAGGGCCGGGAGCCCCTCTGTCGCTGCTGCCTGTCTGTGTCTCACACACCAGGCAAGTTTTTCAGGGTTTTCTGAAGTGCTCAGTTTTCTAGTTCCCTGTGGTCTGCTAGGTGTCACCTGTCACGACAGGCATCTCAGTAGCTGAAATGCTCAGCGGACTGAGGTTATCGCCGCAGGGGCCCCGGGGCTGAGTGCGGTGTTTGGTCTTTCCTTGTCCCTTGAGATTGATCTCAAAACATCGTCTCACAATCTGCAGTGGAAAACAGAAACCTGAGAAAGAGCCTTCCCATAACTCAGCGACTTCACTGGAGAAGTAAGCGTCTTGCACACCGTTGTGTATGATGAGGACAATCATCAAAAGTTGTCTGATGACAAAAATTGGAAGTAATTTGAAATACCAAGAATTAAACATTTTTACACCGAGGACCAGGCATACGATGGAACGGTCTGCTACAAACTGTGCCCTGGAAGAGTGTGCATCCGTGCATGTGCCGGGCGTGTGCCGGGGCAGCTGACGGCGACCTTACACCCAGCCTGCTCCTCCTTGCCTGCCTACTGTCGATTTAAAGCATCTCACAGTGAGAGCCCTCAGTGTTTTCCTGTCTTGGTCTTCAATGCACTGGTGACAGGTTAGCTGGTGTCCCGGCTGGCTGCTGGCTCCCGGACGGCATCCCCTGGGGCGAGACTGACTGCACAGGACAGCACTGCACTGGGCGTGGGTCAAGGCCAGGTCTGAGGCCCTGAGGCCGTGTCTCGTGGTGTCCACAGGACTGGACAGTGTCTGGGAGAGGGGACGAAGCCCAAGCTCCCAAGGAGGGTGTGGGTGCCCAACGGTGCTGTGTCCCCCGGTGGTCCCCTCCTGCAGCCACGGTCCACCGTGGGCACGTTCACGGCCCGCAGGGTAACTGGGTACCTGGAACAGCCGTGCTTCCTGGTGGGAAGTGGTCGGTGGTCTCCATGCTCCTGGTCTGGACCTTGTCCTAGACTCAGCACGGTGTGCGCGTGCGTGTGTGCACATTTGTCACCCGTCTGCTGACCAGGACTGTGGTGGGTTGCGGTAAAGCCCGCCTGACCCTGGCCCTGCAGTGCGTCCCCTTTGTGCCCGCCCATCACCCTCCGTGTGTCACGCGTGGAGCCATCTCTGCAGCGTTCCCTGGATGTCCTGGTGGAGAGGACCCTGTGCTCTGGCGTCCTGGGCAGGGTGGGCCAGCTAATGGCCACCCTCCCACCACAGCCTGATGGCCTCTGGCTGTCAAAGGGAGGAAAATTTAATTTTTACAAGATTAATGGCATTGGAGCAATATTTTTAGCTGAGTGTGGTTCAAATAATAGGCCATTAATTGAAAAAGGAAATTGAAATGAATTTATCTTGTACATAAACGCTGTCACAGGTATTAATAGGGATCAGAAAATAGTGGCCTGTTCCCAGAAGGAGGGTGAGCCTGAAGCTGCACCTGGTGATGAGCGTGGGGGGGGCGCGCGGAGCATGGGGGCTGCAGCCTGGGGGGTGGGGGGCAGAGGCCTGAGGGGAGCGTGGCCTGGGGGACCTCTGAGCCTACAGGGCTGTGACCTGGGGTGAGGACTGTGACCTGGGGGGGGGCCTGCGGCCTGGGGAGACAGTGGCCTAGGGGAGCAATGGCCTGGGGAGGGCTGTGACCTAGGGGGCTGTGACGGCATGAGGGTGTGGGGGGCTGCAGCACAGGCAGGAGCTTGCAGATGCTCATATTCACCAGGAGATGGCGCCAAAGCAACATCTCGTACCCTGAGCAGGGGACGCTCAGAGGGCAATTTTTAGATTCAAAAAAGATTGTTAAATCCTGTCCTTCCATAAGAACCATCCCGAGTGGCCATTCACTTAAGCAGGTGGCTCGGCTAGTCTGCTCGGGCCTGAGGAGACAGCGCCCCATTGGCCGTCCTGGGCGGGTCCAATCTGCCTGCGTTTTCTGCGGGAATCCAGGAGTTGGAACCCTGTTCCTTCAGAGGCACCACCAGCCTTGCAGTGACGTCGCCCGTCCCATTCACGGGAACTCACTCACTGCCCTCCCGGGCCGAGGGCCTGGCTCCGGGTGAGCAGGCGGACGGCAGGCGCTCGTGCTGGTCCAGCCCCAGCCGCCTGGGCCCTTGCCTCCTGGCAGCGGCCACCTCGGTGTGCTGGGTGCTGGGGTTCTCATACTGTGCCTTCCTCCCCAGCTCTCTTCCCTGCGCCCAGGGCCTGGAGTTGGGCCAGCAAACGTGCTCTGATCAGGGAGGGGGTCCTGGGGCGGAGGAGGCCGTCCCAGCTGCGTGTTGGACGTGCCTGCCCTCAGTGTGGACCCCCACCAGGGCGGCTCATGGGGAGTCCCAGCCGAGGACAGAGCTTGAGGCTCCACTTTGGAGATCGGCAAGATGGGAGGCCCATCATGGGTGCGGTGGGGGAGGTGGGGGCAGAGTGGGCGGGAGCCACGGGTCAGGGAGGAAAGACCCCACGGGGGGGGGCGCCCCCAGGCACCTGCCTTCCCCAGCCCAGACCCCTGCCTGGGGCTGCCCCGGAGGATGCCGACTTCGGTGTGCCCAGGGGCCTGGAGGAGGTGCCCAGCAGAGAAGGGTCCGGCCTCTGGTGGGGCCTGTGCCGCTGTGGCCTGGACGGGCTTTGTCCCGGGGATGGAACACTGCCAGCGCTCTCTGTGGCGAAGGATAAACGCCCTCCGTGTCCTGGCAGGCACCTGCGTCCGACCTGCCCCCGACGGCTCTGTTTGCCGAGAAAGAACCAGGGTGTCCGGTACTAACCACCGGGAGTGTCAGGATGCGCTGCTTCTGCCCACGCCA